TTACAACAACTCGGAAAACACTTCCACTGGCATGACTCCCTTCTTTGCAGTCCATGGCCATCACCCCATTTTTGATCCCTCCATCATCCGTGATCCCTCTGTTGTGCCCTCTGCCGAAGAACGTGTCGACCGACTTCAGACCGTTCTCGAGGATCTCAAGGCCAACCTCCGGGTTGCCCAAGAGTCCTACACTGTGCAGGCCAACAAATCCCGTCTCCCCACTCCCGACATCTCCGTTGGCGACCTCGTTTTTCTTGATCGTCGCCACATCCGCACCCTTCGTCCCTCCAACAAGCTTGACCAGAAAAAGCTTGGCCCCTTTAAAGTTCTTCGCCGCATCAACCCCGTTGCCTTTGAACTTAAACTCCCTTCCACACTCAAAGTCCACCCCGTCTTTCATGTATCCCTCCTTGAACCCCGAACGAAGGACATTGTTCCCGAGTTCACCCAACCCGAACCACCTCCCATTCTTGTTGACTCCCAGGAAGAGTTTGAGGTCGAGACTGTTCTCGATTCTCGGCTCTTCCGTGGTCGCTTACAGTACTTGGTTCAGTGGAAGGGCTATTCCGAGACTGATCGGTCTTGGGAACCCGCTGCCAATGTTTCCCACGCCACTGACCTTGTTGCTGACTTCCACCTTCGCTATCCCTCAAAGCCGAAGGCGACGCCCGGAGTTCGTCGCTAAGGAAGGGGATGATGTTAGGGATAGCTCCTGCTTGTTCTCCACTTTGACTGCCCACTTGGCTGTTCTTTTGCCTTTCTGTTTGTTTGTGTGTAGCCTTGCAGTTCCCCTCCAATTTTCCGCCCTTTGCCTGTCTTTTCCGCTCCTTCCGCACTTCCGTTTTCCCGCGCTGCTCCGCTTCCTTTGTCTTCTCCGCACGCGCCGGTTTGTTTGTGCACGCGCCTTGCTGCGATTGGTTGCAATTCGGCTGCCGGTCATGTGTCCCCCCACCGGTGACTCATGACCTGCCTGACCGCCCCAAACCTTCGCCTATCTCGCATGCATTTGCCCCAACCTTATACTTGACCAATCCGCTTCTTGGACGTTGAGTCACATTGCTTCGCCTTTGCACGTTTCTCCTGCCAGGTGCTTCGCTTTTGCTTGCGCCTCTCTCGCTTTGGTTCTCTGCCTGTCTCGGTGGTCCTTCTCGGCCCTCGTTCATGCATCGCCCCCTTCGCCCTGCTCAATCGCCCACTTTTCCCTCCCTTGGCCGCCCTTCGCTGCCAAGTCCGGACTTGTCTATAAATAGCCTGACCCCCGCGATGTGTAGTCGAACCTCAGCGTTCAAAATAGGACTAAATAAAGTGCCTTCTACTTTATTCTCTGAGTGTTCCTCACGTCTCATTTCGAGACAAGTCTTATCTTGAACGGATCTTTGCTTCCCTCGCTCCCTCTCCGAGTCCACTTCGGACTTTACCCTTGCCTTCCCTGAGCTCACTTCGGGCTCACTTCTTCTTTTGCCGTTGAGTCCCCTCTGGACTCTAACAGCTCCTGTCCTCGCTGTGTTCGACCCGAACACGGATGTCTCCGTGCACACCGACGCCTCCGACTTTGCGGTGGGAGCTGTTTTGATGCAGGAGGGAAGGCCCGTTGCCTTCGAGTCGCGCAAACTGTCCCAACACGAAATCAACTATCCCGTGCACGAGAAGGAGCAGCTTGCGATCATCTACGCGCTGCAGAAGTTCCGAGTGTACCTCCACGGTACCGCCAAGCCCTTCAAGATTGTGACGGACCACCAGTCACTGCGTTACCTCGACACCAAGAAGAACCTGAGCCGACGCCAAGCGCGATGGATGGAGTTCCTCGCCGAGTACAACTACGAGGTTGTATACCAGAAAGGCAAACTCAATGTGGTGCCTGACGCACTGTCCCGACGCCCCGACTACCAATTGGCGTCACTGTACGAGTCGACTGTCAGTGTCGACAACACGATGCTGGATGTTGTCCGAGACAACATCGCCAACGACAAACAGTTCGGAGAACTGTTCCGAAAGGTGTCTAAGCTCCCCAAGGACGACGAATCGTCCGAGTACACAGTGCGTGATGGCCTGCTCCTCCTGAAGAAGGACAGCCGTGTCTGTGTGCCGGACATTCCGTCGCTGAAGACCAAGTTGCTCCAAGAGGTCCACGACTCGCCCCTCGCTGGACACTTTGGAGTCGAGAAGACATACGACCGACTGACCAAAGTCGCATACTGGCCTGGAATGAAGCGCACCGTCGAGAAGTACATCGAGTCCTGCCATACCTGCAAGATGGTCAAGTCACGCACGACCCGAGAGCAAGGATTACTGCAACCCCTGCCTGTTCCCGACCGCCCCTGGACCAGCATGTCCATGGATTTCGTCACGCATCTACCGACGACCAAGTTGGACCACGATGCAATCGCTGTCTTTGTCGACAGGTTCAGCAAGATGGCACACTTTGTGCCGTGCCAGACGACATGCTCCGCGCCTGACCTTGCACTGCTGTTCTTCAAGCATGTGTTCAAGCACCACGGCCTCCCAAGGTCGATCGTCAGTGACCGAGACCCCCGATTCACCTCCTTGTTTTGGACAAGTCTGTTCGACCATCTCGGCACCAAGCTGAACATGTCAACCTCGCACCACCAACAAACGGATGGACAGTCCGAGCGGACGATCCGCACCCTCGAGCAATACCTGAGGACATACGCCTCGACCAGCCAAGACGACTGGGACATACAGCTGAGTCATGCAGAGTTTGCATACAACACCGCCAAGTCGAGCACAACTGGCTTGAGCCCCTTTGAGGCGCTCTACGGATTCCAGCCTGATGTTCCCACCTCCTTGACACTGACCGAGTCCACGGCTGGATTGCCTCCCAAACCAAGTGCCTTTGTCAAAGATCATCAAGTCCGACACAAGATGATCGCCGATGCGCTCACGGATGCGCAACAAGTGATGGCGAAGTACTACGACCGCCGACACCAGGATGTCTCCTTTGAAGTTGGAGACCTTGTCTACCTGGACGCCGACAACATCAAGGTCCCCGAAGCCCAGTCAAAGAAGTTGTTGCCCAAGTACCGAGGACCGTTTAAGATAGCGGCCCGACCCAGTCCCCTCAACTACCTGTTGGACTTGCCACCTGGAAGCAAGCTCCATCCTGTCTTCCATGTGTCCAAGCTGCGTCGCCACACGACCCGCAGTCCAGCACAGTTCCCCGACGCCGACGAAGGTGTCCCGGACGACGCACCACTGGAAGACGACCTCGGACAATACTATACTCAAGAATATGAAGTCGAAAGGATCGTGAGGCACAAGAAAGTGGCTGATGGGTCACTTCGGTTTTATGTCAAGTGGGTTGGTTACCCACACTCGGGCAACACATGGCAAACACTGGAGGACTTGTCCCATGCACCCGAGGAGCTGAGTAAATACGGGAAACACCTCGAGGAGCCCCAAATAAAGAGCACACACAGGGCTCCTCGCAGGAAGCCTTCTTAAGTGTGGGAGTGTAGGAGATGGTATCTCCGACGCTGTGCTGCGCGTACTGCGCGTACTGCGCGGCGCAGTGGGTCGTGACCTGTGCTGCGCTTTGCGTTTTCACGCACCGCAGGCAGGCCACCGCAGGGTATACCTGCGGGTTGCCCCCGTTCCCCCCGTTTGTCTGCAGTTCGGTTTTATCGTGAATAAACGTAAGTGCTTCCCCGAGCTCACCCGTCCGCTAGAGTAGCCTAGCACCGCCCTGTTCTGCCCTGTCCTGTCTTGTCTTGTACCCCCTCCCTCCCCGTCTTGCCCCAACGTCCCAGTAGTGGACGTTACAATGGGTTACGCCCACGACGCCGCCTCGACGCCGCCTGACGCCTTGGCGCCGCCATGCCGCCGCCACTGACGCCCGCTGACTCACGGATCCCGAGTCACGGCCGCCACCTGCTTCGCTCGCTGCTTCGCCCTCCCCGCCGCTGCTTCGCTCCTGCCCCCTCGCTCTGCAGCGTCGATCCTTGGCGCTCGCATAAATAGCCCTCCGACCAGCCTCTGTCTTTTGCCTTCGTCTTGCCACTTTGTATTTTTAGTATCCTAAGCCTTGGATCTAGAATAAAACTTTGGCTTCACACTTGACACTCTGTGTCCCAGTCCAGTCCCCGCTCCTCTCCCTGCGTTCGAGTCTTGAGTTAGGACTCCTGCGCATCTCCCTGCTTGTCCCGTTGTCCAGTCTTGACACTTCGCCCCTTTCTTCCTTGGCTGCAATTTCGATGGCCCAGTTCTTCTCGGCCTCGACATCGGGGGGGTTGGGGTACATTTCGGAGTCTCCGTAGAGCTCCTCGATCGTTGTTTCGATCGGCTTCTGGCCACTGGGGACTATGGGCTGGGAGACTTCTTGGCCATCGCCTCTGCGTTTCTTGGGCGTGGGCTGATCCGTGAGATCGATTGTTTCGGGCTGAGTTTGGGCCTCAGGGGGTGCTCTGGAGGGTCCAGGGACACTGTCATGGACGTCTACGGCCATTTCGGGGGCAGGCGAGTCGTCGGGGGGCATGGTTGGTACCGGGTTGGTTAGGTTGGTAGGCAATGGGAGGGTAGTAATTCAAAACGTGCGTCCGCGGAACACTCGATAACGAGATCGGGGCAAACCTGGGGGAATTAGCTCAGATGGTAGAGCGCTCGCTTAGCATGCGAGAGGCACGGGGATCGATACCCCGATTCTCCACTTTCACTGCCCGGCTAGCTCAATCGGTAGAGCGTGAGACTCTTAATCTCAAGGTTGTGGGTTCGACCCCCACGTTGGGCGCTAAATGTTCTTTTGCTGTTTATGCCTTTCGCTGTCTGGTCCATCGTGAAACATACTCCCGTTGATGATGTAGATGAAATTCTCCCAACCTTTGGTCCATCTTCTTGACCGTCCTCACCTCTGTATTTTTTTTTACCTCATTTCCATATCAGATTCAAAGCCATCAGCCCCTTGTCGACCCTCGTCGCTCGGGGTCACCGGGTCGGTTGAGAAAAGAGAAAACGAGTACAAAGGCCGGCTTTCCTTGTTTTGCCCCTCTCTCTCATAGTCTCCCATCGTCTCTGGACCTTCCACCAGGCCTTGACCGTGTCGAATGGCCTTAGTACTCTGCCGAGAGTCCTCTGCAGTATTTCGACATCCGGGTCTTGTCGGTCGAGCATTTGCGCGCCCTGTCGTTTATAGTCATCATCCATGATGGTCCCATCAAGCAGCTAGTCCACTGTCCCGATGCTCTCACGACTACTCTCGTTCCACCCGGGATATCTGAGTTTGAGGATGCCAACGAGGCATCTGATCCATCTTCTCTTGTCGATGTGCTTCTGTGTGCCGCCGTTGTCCACCAAAACAACCTCACCGCTGTCATCAACGATCGGCAAGGCAGCACATGGGCTGTGGTTTATATATGTTTCAACTCGCCTATGGGCGAGCACAGAACGAAGAGAGGAGCCATCTCGGAACCACTCTCCCCAACTCCAATCTGGGACTCGGTGGCGGGAGGTGTTCTTCCAGGGGCTCCAGTCGCTCCTGGACACAATCGTGTCTGTCACTGCTCTTTTCCCACTCTTGTTTCCACTCGCACTCGCACTCGCATTAATCCTCTGTTTTGTTTTGTAAACGCGCCTTTATCCGTTGCTTAGGTATCGGATAAACTATGTCAATTCCATTGAGTGCCCAATCGAGCAAGTCAGGAGGACCTAGCGCCTTCAGCAGTGTATCATTTTCCAATTTTGTACCCTTGACTCTGATTTTGCAGGAAAGGGCTAAAGTTCATACTTGGGAGGCCTGCACTGGGGTCTGGATTGGTGTTGCTGGCTGTTGACTGCTGGTTGCTGCCAATGGAGCTCTCGGCCTCCAGTTGAGCCTTGGCGCATGCTCTTGGGCAAATGCGAGACACTCGCTCGACCGGACATTGAGCCGGTGGGCTGGCCTTTTGGATGACTCTGATGCAGACTCGACCGTGACCGGGGTCAGGGTCTGCCTGAAGCTGGTGGGGCTGCAGCCAAGCGTGTCCTCGGGCCATCTTGGATGGTGGAATGGAACTCCATCGTTCGTCCGTGGATGTTGAGCACTCGGAGCCGGTGTCTCTCGAGCTGTCGGTGCTTGCATGGTGAGCTGTCGGTGCTTGCATGGTGAGTTGTCAGTGCTTACATGGTGAGTTGTCAGTGCTTGCATGGTGAGTTGTCAGTGCTTGCATGGTGAGTTGTCAGTGCTTGCATGGCCTGGTGACCTTGATCATCAGCTTGGACATTTCTGTGCAAAACCATGTTACTTGATGCCATGATCACTTGGTCGAACCAGCCGCTCTGTGTGTTTTCTGGGACATGGCTGCTGTGGTGGTGGATGAACCGCCCCAAACACCGAGCATACCTGAATTTCGGTGGACAGGACGTACATTCCATCCCTTGCTCACAGATAGCATTCTCAAAGGCAATCACAATACCATTCTCCTTGGAAGCACCATTGTGTCATTACGGGTTATTGGTGGGTTATATTCAGGATCCAGGAATAAGAAAATAAAAATGATCCCAAATCAGAACAAGTTGTCCCGTTTGTTAGTGTCCACCATATCATAAAGTAAACTCTAAAAAGCTTTCCCTGTTTAATATTTTAATCTTGTTGATTTTGGGAATGTGATTTACTATCTATTCGACTCGGTTGCTTAACGATAACATTTAATTAGTAGTTAACGTTTGAAAAAGATAAATATTGGTCCAGTTTGGTGCTGTTGAATCGGCAGCGCTGACATTAATTTATGACGCCTAACTTTGACCTTGATAGATTGGGTTTGTACCGCCAGTGCTTGTCGGGGCTTGGTAGAGCGGGTTGGAGGCTTGCCCCCGAGAGGGCGCCCGGGGCAGAAGACAAGGCCTGACCAGCGACTGTGGCTCGGTTCATGAACCAGAAGCCAGCAGCAGCCGCTCCTCCTGCCGCAACAACACCGCAAGCAACGACCGCGGCAATGGCACCGCCGCTGAGTCCACCAGGCGACGATGTTGGGGGCGATGACCTGATGCGCGGAATACAGCCCTTGAACTCGCTGTACTTGAATCGGAAGGCGCTATAAACCGAGTTGCTGACATTCACTGATAATGCATACAAATTTCCAGTGAGAGATCCGCTTGCTTGTGTGACTGTGGCGTTGGGAGCGAGGACCATGCCAACAAAGTCTGTGGCTGATATGGCGATATTGGTTGCCTCATAAAAGTTGAATATCACTTGTCCATCAACGCCATTCAGATCCGTCATAGTCAGAGAGTTGATGGACGCACTGGCTCCAGCGACATTGATGATTAATGTTGCATTGGCGCATTGGGCGCCGGTGCATGTAAAGAAGTGATGGTTATTGATGACAAGAGATGTTGCGCTGCTCAACACCGATATATCGACTTGTGCGACCGCAACATTGCATCCGTCAGGTATGCTGATAGTCAGTACTGTTCCCGTTAATGTCACGGACGCGGTGACTGGTTGGGCCTTGAGAGCTAGCGATATGTTCTTGAGATACTGGAAGGCATACTGGAAATCTAACACGGTACCCTACGAAAAGTGGAGCGCATGTGTCAGGTTTCATGTATAGCGGACGATTGGGCAACAGCGACATCGTTCATGAGGAGGTATGGAGGAGGCAGTAGCCAGTTATGTGTCTTGAGTCGATCTGCGCGACAATCATCGAAATGAACGCATTCTTACCGAAGAATATTTGCAGTCACTAAAGGCCACTTGGACTCCGTTGCCGGGTGCGTTGGGACTCGAGAAATAACCGTTGGTGACTTGGAGGGCTGTTGAGTTTTGAATGCCGCTGGTCACATATCCGTTAACAATGGCGGCATTGGAGAGTATGGCCGGTGCCGATGATCCGTACTGAGACTTGATCCAGGCTGTGACATCAGCGCAGCTGTGGCAAATACCACCATAGAGCGAGCTGCCGACCGAGAGCAGGGATGAACTAAGGTTTCCACCAATGGCCAAGCGACCCTCGCAGACTAAAGGGAATATACATGATGCAAGAAAGACATAGAAATCAATAGTACCGAAATTAGTGAAATTTCATGAAATGAAATGCCGATAACAAGACTTCTCGATTCCAAAGTTGATATCGAACAGTGAGTATGTGCTGGAACACGAAGCCAAAGTGACATACCCCAGTTCGAACTCAGCGAAGAGTTGCCCTGAAGGAAGGTACTGAAAGCACCAATAGGATAATCGCCATTGGGTCCCCAGTAAGCTATACCGCAATCCCAAGCTGATGATGTGGCACAGCTACTTGAAGTTGGGTATGGAGATTGCGAAGGTACCACGTATGGGTTAGATCCTGTGGATTGTGATGGAGGAGCATACGTCGCCGTGAATGTTGGAGGGCCATATGAGGACACGGTAGAGGATGAGTTTGTTGGGGCGATGCTTTGACAGGCGTTCAAAGGTGCCTTGTTGACTTGAGAGGGGCCGGTGAAGCTTTGGGCGAGCACGCTTCCATAAATTACACCTTCAGCAGTGATATCAGCAAACGGAGCCAATATGGTTCCATGCACAGCGATCAGAGCAAACTGGATATTCGAAGCCTCAAAAATGTTCCAGATAATTCGAGTGGCTGAGGGACGGAGTATTTCCATGTCAAACGATTGAATTGTCACATTTTGTCCTCCAACGTTGAACACCAAAATGGAAGGATAAGTTGCCTGGAGGCAGATTGCAAGGTTGTTCACGATGAAGGTATCGATGCCGGTAAATGATTCAGAGGGAATGTTGACGATGATCACATCATTAAAATAGTCATTTGAGTAGGTAACACTACAGTCGATGTTGATCTTGAGTGTTGAGCCAGTTCTTTGAGCAGACGATGGCGCACGATCGTCAAGATCGGCAAAGTATCGTGATTGATCTTCGAGGAAGCTGAAGGCGCTTTCGATATCGGCATCACAGCTATCGACGTCGTCGATCTAAATGGTTTATAGTCCAAAGCGTAGAATGCAAGAACTTAATCAATGGATTTCTGACATTGCGTGGATGTAGAGCAGCTCAGGAACAGCTCTTACGTCAATAGCTTTGCAGCTTGGGTTTTTGAAGAGTGTGGAGAGATTATTCATGTTTGCTTTGCCATACACGAGATCTCCACTAAAGACTCTCGAAGGAAGGCTGGAGTGGGAGAGGGACATTAATATGTTTGGATAATCGATACGACCTGTCGATGATGGGAAATAATACCTTTGGAGGGAACCATCGACTTCCAAGCTGTATAAAAGCGGTGGATAGAGACCGTTTGAATTGATATAACTTGCAACACTTCGGCAGTCACAATCCCAGGTACCGTTCGAGGATTGTGTGCATCCGGGTATGACGCCATCGTCATAGATCCGGTGTCCAACGCTAGCCGAATTGGAGGGGCCGAAGTCGCCACCAATCAAAACACGGCCTTCGACATCTATCAAAGCTTAAAAGTTAGGAAGGTAACAAAAATTTGAACGGTTTCTTGAGCAGGATACATACCGGAAGTTGAGGAGGAATATGATTCAGAGAGAAGGAGATTGTACTCTGATATCGGGAAGATATAAGGAGTAGCGGAGCACTGAGTTGCTGGACCCCAGATTGGACAGAGGAACGGTGTCGGGGTGGGGAGACGGGGTGTAGTAGTTGCCGAATGTGACTTTGATGTAATGGGAGCAGTTGAATCACAGGTCTCCGAAGAGTGGGTGGGCTTGGTAGGGGGAGAAATGGAAGGGCGAACAGTTGAGGTTGATGACATACTCGGGGATGCGGACTCAGAACAATGAGTAGTGGTAAGAGTGGCGGACGATGTAGGTGTCGCTGAAATGGAGGAAGACTCAGAACACGTGGAAGAGGTTGAAGGTGAATAGGTGGTGAGAGATGAACGCTGTGAGGAGGAGGTTATGGAGAAATAGGATGAGGAGAGGGACGCTGGAGATGAAGTTGAACAAGAGGATTGCGATGACACAGATGTAGGGGGTGACGAAAGTGAGGGAGAAGAGGATATCGGTGGGGATACTGTTGGTGATGACAAGGAAGATGAAGACGAAGTGATTGACGACGATGGTGATGGCAGAGAGGAGGAAGTTGGAGATACCAAGGACGAGGACAATGAGGATGGGGAGGTTATGGAGGGCGAAGGAGTATCAAATGATGTGGAAGCGGAAGAAGTAGAAGCAGCAGAGGTTGTAGCGATTGCTGTGGAGGTGGTGGTAGCAGCGGTAGTGATAGTGGTACTGGTACTGGTGGTGACTGGCTCTGTTATGGTAGAAGAAGTAGAAGGGAAGGAAGTGGAAGTGGTTGATTTGGAGGAGGAGGAGGAGGTAGTGGTAGTGGTGGTAGTGGTTGATTTGGTAGAGGTGGTAGAGGTGGTAGTGGTGGTAGTAGTGGTAGTAGTAGTGGTGCTTGGCTTTGTTGTAGTAGTAGTGGTGCTTGGCTTTGTTGTAGTAGTAGTGGTGCTTGGCTTTGTTGTAGTAGTAGTGGTGGTGGTGGTGCTTGGCTTTGTTGTAGTGGTGGTGGTAGTAGTGGTGCTTGGCTTTGTTGTAGTGGTGGTGGTAGTAGTGGTTGATTTAGAGGTAGTGGTGGTGGTAGTGGTTGTTGTTGAGGTGACTGGAACAGTGGTTGATCTAGTTGAAACAGTGGTCGATCTAGTCGAAAGAGTGGTCGAGCTCGAAGTGGACGGAGGTGGGCCCGGGGGCGGTATGCAGCCACAGTAGGCATTCACGTTGATTTGGATCGGTCCTCGGAAACTCTTGCAGTAAACGTTTCCATCAATTCGACCCGATCCACTGGCGCCATAGGTCGTGTATGGCTCGATGTCCGCACCAGGTGCCATAATCATTCCGACGAATTGCACTCCGGTCATCTGGATGTTTGTTGCCTTGTGGAAGTTGAAGATGATCTGACATCCAATATCAAGATCAAGAGCCACACTCAGGCTAGAGATCAATGCTTGAGTATCAGGAATGTTGATCACCAGAGTCTGAGAGTTGCTGAAGCATTTCTTGTAGTTTACGAACACGAAGCTTTGAATGTTTTTGATGTCTCCGGGTTTGATGTTCAAGACATGAACAGAACTAGAGACACACAAACTAGCATCAAAGGTAATTGTGATGGTGCCATACGCGAGAGTGTAGGAGACGTGCGAGCTTTGAGAGAGCGATCCAAGGTAAACCGATGTCGATGTAATGTAATCGATTGCCGAAGGGATATCGATTGTGCAAACCGTTTCGGATTTTTCCTGTATGATCGAGTTGGCAAGAGCGTTGGCAAGAGCGTTGGCAAGAGCGTTGGCAATAATGGCCGGGATTCATCAACCAAGTTAGAAATTGCTCAAGTACTAGGGCACCACCACAAGTCACTGGATCATAATAAAGCCATTCTCTCGCTATGTGATGGAAACACGAAAGTCCGGCCGAGTTGGCCAAGTCCAATGTGATACTGCTCCAGCTATGGGGATGTGATGGCCATCACCGAGGCTTTCCGATTCTATGGACTCATGGCCCAATGATCAGATGGCCTGATAGCTTGATGATCCAATGAATCGATGGCCGATGACATCACGGGTCTTCAGGCGCACCCACAGCTCGGCATTCACGTCCTCCCCACCCCTTGTTGACACCCATGCACACAAAATGCACAGCAAAATTCGTCGTCGGATACATACAATCATGGTGCATCCCTTTCCATAGAAGGAAAGCCCACTGTTCAAGACGTTGTAGTCCGAGTCATAGTCTCCAGGGCTACTTTCACAGTTGGTCCTTCCAGAGTTGCACAGGACATGACCGCTGTAGACTGCCGCCGGAACGCTGTCGAGTGGATGATGAAGCGTAGAGGTGTGGCACAGAGAAAAACGCATGGATGTGGATGTGGATGTGGATGTGGATGTGGATGTGGATGTGGATGTGGATGTGGATGTGGATGTGGATGTGGATGTGGATGTGGATGTGGATGTGGATGTGGATGTGGATGTGGATGTGGATGTGGATGTGGATGTGGATGTGGATGTGGATGTGGATGTGGATGTGGACATTAATGATAGGTGAGTAGATGTGTACATAATATTTGATATGGTCAATTCCTTGACCACAGAAACTGCCCATGATCGTAAAATATGGGGTGGTAGTGGAGTCGGCGGCATCAATCCGCTCCGGCTCAGCGCCGGTCCGCTTTCAGTTCGCCCTAGTTTTCTGCCAACCAATCGTACCTCTTAAAGTCACCTTCGACATGGAGTGAGTACTTCAGTCCAGGGAATCCGCCATCTTTGCTTCCATCGCAATAATCTTCAATACTATCACATCCACAGTATGATAAATCCTCTGAACATCCTGGGGCGACTTTCGGAATGCGGCTATACGAGCTCTGAAGCTTGTAGCCAACCGAGTAGCCTTGATCATTGTTGTAGTCTCCTCCAATAGCCAAGCGACCTTCGCAATCTGTGGATTCAAATTTGAGGTGTTTCAGTTAGATTTACAGTAAGCCAGATCGAACGAGATTCAGTCAAATGATGTCTAATTAAAAGGTACCATGCACCTCATCAAAGTAATGAGAGGAGTATTGAATAATATAGCGAAAGCACCCAGGGACTATCTATAAATGCAAAGAAGAAAAAGAAAAAGAACAAGAAGAAGAAGAGGAAGAAGAAGAGGAAGAAGAAGAAGAGGAGGAGGAAGAAGAAAAAACGACAGCACAAAAATAAAAGCGAAAAAGAATGGTGACTATGGGTAGAGTCGAGAGGCTGTATGATGCGGATACATGGTCAACCAAGAATAAGCCATGCGTTAGGACCAAGAGAAAGGTAACGGTACGAAATCTCGGCATGATACCTGATGTAGAGTCAGTATACGAATTGGATGTAATGAGGTTGTATTCTTTGAGAGGTACGACCCAAGTTGACTGAGAAATGGTCTTGCAAGTGATAATAGGGCCCCATTGAGTTCCGCAGTTTGGAGGCGAAGTTGGGGTTGGGACTGAGGCTGAAGTAGATGATGACCTAGAGGCAGTGGTAGTAGTGGTAGTGGCTGGCTTGGAGGTCGTCGTGGTGGTGGTTGATTTGGAGGAGGAGGAGGAGGTAGTGGTAGTGGTGGTAGTGGTTGATTTGGTAGAGGTGGTAGAGGTGGTAGTGGTGGTAGTAGTGGTAGTAGTAGTGGTGCTTGGCTTTGTTGTAGTAGTAGTGGTGCTTGGCTTTGTTGTAGTAGTAGTGGTGCTTGGCTTTGTTGTAGTAGTAGTGGTGCTTGGCTTTGTTGTAGTAGTAGTGGTGCTTGGCTTTGTTGTAGTAGTAGTGGTGGTGGTGGTGCTTGGCTTTGTTGTAGTGGTGGTGGTAGTAGTGGTTGATTTAGAGGTAGTGGTGGTGGTAGTGGTTGTTGTTGAGGTGACTGGAACAGTGGTTGATCTAGTTGAAACAGTGGTCGATCTAGTCGAAAGAGTGGTCGAGCTCGAAGTGGACGGAGGTGGGCCCGGGGGCGGTATGCAGCCACAGTAGGCATTCACGTTGATTTGGATCGGTCCTCGGAAACTCTTGCAGTAAACGTTTCCATCAATTCGACCCGATCCACTGGCGCCATAGGTCGTGTATGGCTCGATGTCCGCACCAGGTGCCATAATCATTCCGACGAATTGCACTCCGGTCATCTGGATGTTTGTTGCCTTGTGGAAGTTGAAGATGATCTGACATCCAATATCAAGATCAAGAGCCACACTCAGGCTAGAGATCAATGCTTGAGTATCAGGAATGTTGATCACCAGAGTCTGAGAGTTGCTGAAGCATTTCTTGTAGTTTACGAACACGAAGCTTTGAATGTTTTTGATGTCTCCGGGTTTGATGTTCAAGACATGAACAGAACTAGAGACACACAAACTAGCATCAAAGGTAATTGTGATGGTGCCATACGCGAGAGTGTAGGAGACGTGCGAGCTTTGAGAGAGCGATCCAAGGTAAACCGATGTCGATGTAATGTAATCGATTGCCGAAGGGATATCGATTGTGCAAACCGTTTCGGATTTTTCCTGTATGATCGAGTTGGCAAGAGCGTTGGCAAGAGCGTTGGCAAGAGCGTTGGCAATAATGGCCGGGATTCATCAACCAAGTTAGAAATTGCTCAAG